CGAAAAGTGTTGTAATTTAACGTTACATGTTAGTTTTCATTCTAACTGTGATACTCCATGTTTTTTTAATGTCCATGCCGGCAGGTTGAAATTATACATTTATTCCTTATAAATGCCAAACTTATTCTCGTCACGACGTAGTTGAAATATTGCCACTGACTCACTCACTCACTGTGCCCCGTACTCAAACAAGGGGAATAGCGAATTGACAAGCAATGCTTGATTCAAGCTCTCACTGTGTGTCACAACAGCGGGGTTCAGTATTGACATTGATACCGTTACGCAACATAGGCAAAATCACATTGTTAATTAAAACTGTTTTCAATATATTTATGTTATTTTCCTTTTTTAATGATTTTTGTTTAATTTACCCAAACACACTAAGTGTGTATTTTCCTTTGTCTGTCAGTTTAGATAAAGAAAGATTGTTTTCATGAGGGTGAAAGGGTAAGAGTATTTTTGTATCGTATAAGGGCATATATACTAACTCACCAACTGTGATATTGCTGGAATATTGCTAAAAGCGGCGTAAAACTAAACTCACTAATTCACTCTTGTATTGTATTACCTCTAAACTTGTACCACCACCAAATTTGGTTCTGACAAAGTTAAACCTTTTTACTGTTTTGTGAACTTAGTCAGTATTAAGATACAATAGTAAATATATTAAGTAAACATTTTATGTTGTTTGTTGATTCCAAACCTAGTTCTCGCACGGACGGTCTCCCGGTTGATTTGTAAGTTTCCACTCTTTACGTGTAAGTAGTTGACACCACCATGGATGATTATTGATATCTCAAATATATATAGGAAGACGTACGTTTTACAGGAATTGATCATTCAATGAATTAATTTTCACTGCTTCAAAGCGTATTTTTTCTGAAAATTTTTTTTCTTTTGTTTCCACTCTTCCACTGCTTCTATTTTTGCTCTGAAAATATATGATTTTCCCCAGAATTTCGTTGACCTATTAATAAATATGCTCTATGTTTTGGCAATCCGGAACCTTGGCAGAGTCTCGCTGAAAAGAAAGATGATTCTGATATATTGTTTTACCCAAGACATTGATTGGTTTGTTTATTGTTTTACGCCGCACTCGGCAACATTACAGCTTAATGACGCCGGTCTATAAATAATCGAGTCTAGACCAGACAATCCAGTGATCAATATCATGAGCGTCAATCTACGCAGCGGGGATACGATGACATCTGTCAACCAAGTCAGTGAGTCTGATCATGACCACCAGATCCCGTTATTCGCATCTTACAACAAGCATGGCTTGCTGAAGATCAATTCCAACACGCATGTTCACTGGTGCCAAGTCATTGATGCCGAAAACAGCATTGCCTTGTATCCTACTATTTCAAATTATATCAACTTGACGAGGGTACTACATACAGTATCTTGTATGATTTGATTGGACAAAGCAGAATCTCTGTTAAAACAGTACGCCTTCTTTTGTCGCAGAACGCTTTTACTTAAAATGAAATAACGCCTGAATTAAAATCAAATTACTCCTGAAATCACCGACCTTAGTTTATCACTTATACCCTGCCCCGGAGAAAACATGCTGTTCGGGGATTTCCGATTAGGGGAATACATCCAGTATAGCCTATTACGGAGAAAACATGCTGTACAAGGATATCTGATCGGGAGAATAGATCCAGTATGCCATGAGGCGGAGAAAAACAGGCTACAAGCGAAGTTCTGCGTGGGAGAGTATGTCCCATGGTACTCCCAAAACTGGCAGTCACCAGATGACGTAATTAGGGATGTGTTATAATCCACTGCCAGAAATGGGACATACAGAAGTCGCACTGCCAGAATTGGGACAGCTACCATCACTATTAGGACTAATTGGTCTGAGTGAAAATGAAATTGGGTTAGTTAAGACTTAATTAATCCATTGCTACCTACCTGATCAATTGCTACTTGGGGAGGTTAATCCTTTGGTCATCTAATGATTATGAACACAGTGTGAACACAGAGTGTTTGTCTTTGGGAACTGTTTTCTGAGATGGTTTCAAGGTTTGAACTCTGTGATCAGTGATATACCCTTTAATCTGAACTCTAATTAAGGTGATTCATCCAGTGAAATATCATGATTTTTGTTATACTTGTATATAATAAAAACTTATGACTTGCCAGCATTCATAAACACATTATAATATAGTGTGATTGTGACAATAGACTTATTTCAACAGGATACGTGAAAAAATATAGAAACATGTGTTTTTACTGTTTCATAACATGGTTTATGCAACTTGGTTTGGAGTCACATTAAGTACGCCTTTTGTTGAATGGGTTTAAGTGGGACAGGGCAAATAGATTGTTGGGGAGCGTACCGCACTTTACTATGTACACGGATGGTGTTTAAGCAGAGCAACAGCTCCTCTGTTCAAATACAAATTAGAACCTACAGGGACGGGTGTGTTCCAAATATAGCACAGTACTCCACGGTTGTATAACTGTACCGTTGTGTTATTCACCAAGGTAGGATGTGTTTTTTGTATTCCGCAAAATATGTACAGAGGTCGAAAACTTAAAGGTAATTTTAAGTTTTGTAAGTCTGATGTGAGGTTATTATAGAGATAAATGTGTTGAAGCGTTCACTGAATGACCTGGTCAATATTTTCAACTGGATTTAATCATTTTTGGTATGAACAAATGGTTGAATCTTCGTCGTTGGTTCTAAATACGTTCAAGCAGAGATTAAACTATATTTACCATAAAAAATGGGTTGAAACATTTTCATTTTCTACAAAATGTGCTTATTACTCAATCTTTATTTATATTGAACGTTATTTATCGTTGTGTTGATGTTAAGAAATGTAGAATATCTTTAGCTCCTTTCCTTTGTTTATCTCATGATCTACTAATTGACACAGGTACGTTTATGAATATCAAAAGAGAAGATATAATCTGTGGATGTTGTTATAATAATGTTGTAGAAGACGAATGTCATTTTCTTCTTGTATGTCCAGCATATGACACTGTAAGTGAAAAAAAAATATATTGATAAATTTTCTAAATGTTTCTAAATGTTTATTTATCAAGCCATGATGACAAGACAATTGTATCTATGAAAAGTACTATAGGCCTGTGGCCTCTCAGTACTGACATAAATACAGATTAAATAATGATCTGGTCAGTAAATTTAATCTAATTGAATTAGTTGACTTAACCTCACACTACAGTCAAATACAAAATAAATTTTAAGCAGCTTTGTGATTTTATCGTTCGCTCGTTACGCTGAAATATCAGTCTGGAAGATTGCTAAGAGTGAAGTAAATGTCATCTCGCGCAATTAATAGAAGCGACAAAACCCTCTCCACAAGAAATCCCTGATAAAAGCAGAGTCGATTGTACAATTGTGACTATATCATGATCATATACTTGTTTCAGCAGTATTAACCCGTGAAGATCCGGGTTAGAATTGATCTTCAGTAATCATGTTTGTCGTAAGAGGCGAGTAACAGAATCGGCTGGTCAGGCTTTCTGACTTGGCTGACACATGTCATCGTATCCAAATTGCGTACATCGATACTTACTGTTGATCACTAGATTGTCTGGTCCAGACTCGATTATTAACAGACTACCGCCATATAGCAGGAATATTGATTAGTGTGGCGTAACACTAAACTCGCTCACTCACTCACTTATTCAGCAGTATAACTGCTGTATGATGTTTGTAAACAAATCGCGTCTGGACCATGACATTACAAAACATTACATATTTGTGTGTTAAAGATTAGAGGATGTAGATAACCGGCAACCCATGCTTGTCACAAGAAAGGGTCGGGTGTCAGATTTAGTTTGGCGTGAACTCAAGCTTACTAAAACCTCACTGATAATTATATATCTTTCCAAAAATAAGCGTTGAAACAAAGTCATTCCCAATTACAGCGTTTGCTGCCACTGTGCCATTGTTATTGAACCTGACTCACCTGCTCAGTCACCTGGACTCAGAGTATGGTGTGAAGCAATGGTGTATTTCAAAACTGGCCCCTCTGTCTACTACGTAACAACCAAAGTCAGGGGCCACTACGGTACAACTCGTTAAGAGGGTGTGAACGTAGGGGCCAGTGTGGGACAACTTGTTAGTTGTCAAAACAAAGAGATAATCTGCTGCAACACACAAAGTAAAGTGGTCGTAGGTGAACGAAGCCAAGCGCAATGAATATATTTGAATATATCTTGAAGTTGTTATAATAGCTTTCTTCTCTACAGATACCTAATGATCTCCCCTTTTCAATTACCAGTGGTAATACACCACATTTAAAGTTACCCAGTTACGCCTGAATTTTGGAATAGTCAGCTTTCAAATATCTCTCTGGTTAAAAACTTGTTATAAAAGCACGAAAGGTAGAAGGTTTTGATGACGATTCGAGTCCTGCACACCATTTTTGAGATAAATACGTCTCTTATCCTTTGTGAAAGTTGGTATAAAAGTGCATCTTTATTTTCAACACGCTTAACAAAGCCGTTAGAGCATAAAACATTTCTTACAGCGGTTACACAGTTTGTTTTCTTGGATTCATCATAGAGAAGAAGCACACTGTGGGCTTTTTTAACATAACGGTATTCGGGCATTGTTGTTAATTTTAACCAATATTTAATTTAAAAGAAGAAGAAAAGTATAAGTGTATAAAGGTAACAGCCACACTCACCAAGAACGGCATCGGAATAAGTATTCTTCATCACTTGCTCATGTCTGTGTATACAATAATTTATTATTCATTTCACAGACAAACCATGACGAGAAGACTGCTGTGCACCCTGGTCTTCTCCCTCCTCACAATAACACAGAGAGCTTCAGGACAGGAAGTTGACACCACACATGGCAAAGTTGTTGGTCTGAGATCTGTCGTCCTTGGAAACATAATCGACACATATTACGGTATTCCTTATGCAAGACCACCCATAGGTGATCTCAGGTTCAAGTACCCTCAACCAATGGACTCTTGGAGGCCAGAAGTCAAGGAGGCACGTTCAATGAAACCATCTTGCCTTCAAACAAGTCAGTTTGGCGTCGGAATGCCTTGGAGGGTAATACCTTCCAACTTCAGTGAGGACTGTCTCTACATCAATGTATGGGCACCAGCTAATGTCCCAGCAAGTGCGAAACTCGCTACCATGGTTTGGATCTATGGTGGAGGATTTGCGGCCGGATCTATCAACACGCCTTTACATAATGGTCAGTATCTTGCCGCTGAAAACAACGTCATCGTGATGTCTATGAACTATCGTTTAGGAGCTCATGGATTTCTATATCTTGGACCTGACACGTTTCCTGGTAACCAAGGTCTCATGGATCAGGCTCTTGCCCTGCAGTGGATTCAGAGCAATGTTGGAAGATTCGGTGGAGATGCAAGCATGATCACCTTGTTTGGAGAAAGTGCAGGAGCAGCCTCGGTTGGTCTCCATTTGTTATCTCTCATTTCGCGTGATTTCTTCACGCGTGCCATTCTGCAAAGTGGAACTCCCTCTCCGATATGGGCTACATCTGAACCATCTAGGGCTATCGGTAGCACAAGAAGGCTTGCCGAGCTTTGCAACTGTTCGGTAGGATCCGATGCTGACATTTTCCAATGTATCAAAGACGTTCCTCCAGAGACAATATTACAAAATCAGGCTCAAGTTGTTGGTCTTGCTTTCGCTGCATTCATTCCTGTCGTGGATGGCCATTTTTTACCCGATTCTCCAGCATCCCTCGTGGAGAAGGGACTCTTTAAGCAAGCGGAAATCCTTCTTGGAGTGAACAAAGATGAAGGCAGTCTTTTCCTCCCATTAATCATGCCAACATTATTTCCCGTGTTTGCAAGTCAAATAAATGTCAACAGATCACAGTTTCTAACGACTGTGGAAGCGATCGCAGCTTTCAATGGTCAGCCGTCGACCATTGTGGAAGCCATGATGGCTCAGTATGCTGACATCCACGTCCCATCTCTACACCCAGACTACGTGGACAGCGCATTTAACGTCTTTGGAGACAGCGAGTTTGTGTGTCCTACAACCAAACTTGCGGCTTCATATTCTGCCCAAAACGCCGCATACTTGTATTCCTTCAACTATCGCCTCTCCGCGTTGCAGCTACCGCTATGGATGGGTGTTCCTCACTCCTTCGAGATAGAGATGGTATTTGGGGTTCCCCTCGGTACTGCCTTTACTTCGACAGAAGCGGATAAGTCAACAAGTCGTAATGTTATGACATACTGGACCAACTTTGCTAAAACTGGGTAAGTACAAAAGACAAACACGAACGATTGAATCAGTTGGGTTGGGTTTTACGCCGCTTTTGCAAAATTGAAGCAATATCATAGCGGGAGACACAACATATGGGCTTCACACATAGTAGCCATGTGGAGAATAGAACCCGGTTCTTAGGCCTGACGCCGACCGAACACTTTAACTACTGGGCTACCCCAATACCCATAAAGGACGAATGTTGTAGTAAATGGGACAGCGACTCAGCCCATGCGTCTCTAAGCTGATTCTGAAAAACTGTTTGCCATGTAGGAGTTGCATGTATAGTATGCATGTATGCATGCATACATGCATGCACTCACTATGACTCACTATCATGTCAATCGGTGGTTATTATTTCACAGCAATCCCAACTTTCCGGAAACACCAAACTACCAATGGCCGACGTACAACTCCAGGGATGAGCGCTTCCTGGTCTTCTCCTCGTCCGGACTGTCCACAGAGCAAGGCATGAGAAAGCAGGAGTGTGTGTTCTGGAACACTCTCGTACCACTGATACTCCACAACAAGGAAAAATCAACAGGCTCTGGCAGTAAGTTTCATTTCATTTCGATCTCCTGCACACACTCTCACATACAGACACACTGGACACACACAGTCAATCATACACAGACACACGTCGCAGACACGTAAACAAACACCCACACTGCTACACAGACATATTATTCACACAGAAACACACTGTTCCTCAAATTCACACAATCACACATACACACAATCACAAACACGCACACTGTCACTCATACACAGATACACACAGACACACACTGTCACTCATACATATACACACACAATCACAGGCACACACACTGCCATTAATACACAGACACACAATAATCACAAACACACACTGCCACACAACCACAGTTACACATAATCACACAGAGACACTGTCACTCAACCACAGTTACACACCAATCACAGACACACTGTCACTCATACTCATATACACACAATCATAGAGACACACACTTCCAGTCGACCACAGATAGACACAATCACTGACACACTGTCACTCATTCTCAGATACACACAATCACAGACACACTGCCATTCATACACAGATACACATAATCACAGACATACTTTGTCACTCATACACAGACCCACACAAATCACACATACACTCTCACACACAGACACATATTCACGCACAACACACAATAGTCATTCATGCTTCCATTTTACTGACTGTGGCGTGCAATAATAATAATTAGTGGGTGAGTGAGTATACATTTTCGCCACCTTTAATGATTGAAGTTAGTTTTTTACATCGCTGTTAACAATATTCCTGCAATATCACGGCGGGAGAAACCATAATGGGCTTCACACATTGTACCCATGTGGGGAATCGAACCCGGCTCTTCTGCTCAACGAGCGAACGCTTTAACCACAAGGCTACCCCACCGCCCTCGCACTTTTAGCAATACTGAAGGAAGGAATATCATGGGCTTGGCAAATTATACCACTGTTGGGGAGTCGAGCCAGGGTTTCGTACTGTGCTGAAGACAAATCTAATAATGCAAAGCTTTTCACTTATAAATATACACCTGGAACCTAATTAAGAACCCTGATATATTTCATGATAGTAGAGAAACTGTTTACCATCGATAAACATGAATGATATCTCTGTATTACAACACATCTCTAGCAGTCTAAAATGGTGTTTCAGTTCCTTTGCACTCGTCACAACGCATCCCTTGTGCACGTGAAGCATACAACCCATACTTTTCCCAAAATTCAGTTTCTCTGATATGCAATTTATGGGTATAAAAGCAGACAAATTTATAACTGTCTCCATTAATGAATACTGAAATGGCGAGGAGATGACAGTCTGAAGCACTAAGGTGGCAAATTGTAGGCATACATGCAACAGGCATGTCCTTCACAGCTATTGGACGACAACTGGGCTACAGTCACTCGGTCATCAGCCGACTTGTCCGAAACATCAGATGACAGGAGATGTGAGAGATCGTCCAAGGCCTTGACAACCCAGGAAGACAACGGCCCGTGATGATCGCAGCCTGGCACGTCTGGTAAGGCGAGAACCCTTTGCCACAAGTTCGGGATTGAAGCGCCTGTGGTTACCCTACAGACAATTATCCACCAGAACCGTCAGAAATCGCCTAAGGGCACTTTGGTATGAGGTTCAGAAGAGTCATCAAACGTCCTGCTCTGTCTGATCTCCTTAAGAGACGACGTCTGAGTGGTGTATGGCCCGTCGCCAGTGGAACCTGAGGACATGGAGGAGGGTCCACTGGTCAGATGAGAGCAGGTTCCTCCTCCACGTTACAGATGGTCGAATGAGAGTGTGGGGCATAAAAACACTGCTTACGTGCCCAGGAATATCCACCCTACTGTTCCTTATGGTGGAGGATCGGTTATGATCTGGGGTTGTCTTTCACACGACTTCAAATGGTGACTGTCCGAGGACATCTTAATGGTCAGCAGTACATCCGGGATATTCTCCATCCAGTTGTCGTGCCTCACTTTGACAACCATCCGTTGGTCACTCACCCGATATTCATGGACGACAACGCCAGGCCGCATCGTTCACGTGCTGTGACCGCACATCTCCAGAATGAGGCTATCATGACATTACCTTGGCCAGCAATGAGCCCCGATTTGAATCCTTTGGAGCACGACTGGGACTTTCTTGAAGCCGTGTGAGGTTGAGAGAACCCTCTCTCCAGAATCTTGCACAGCTGGAAGCTGCTTTGCATGAAGAATGGCGGCAATTGCCACTTGATCGTATCAGAAGGTTTACCAGTAGCATGAGGAGAAGGATTCAAGCTGTCATCCAAGCACGTGGGGATACACCCGATACCGATGCCAGACCCATCAGATGTGAGCATGTGACATTCCTTGTGCATCATTTCTTGTGTAATAGTCAGCTATTGACAATGCTACGACCATACTTTGTTCAGTGACTATTTTCATCAAAAATCAATAGTGACCAAATCACATTGGTATTAAAACAACACGAATTGGAATCATTGTCTTGTTTTTCATTTGCCTAATAGATCGCTGTATGTTTCAATAATAATAGCTAAGGTTCCACTATCTTTGGAATAGTGAAAAGTTACAGCAAGTTTTGTTTCTCATCATCCAGAAAATAGGGAGGGTGCTTAATTAAGTTCCAGGTGTATATATTAAGCAAACAATCTGGCTATGAAAAAGTACTTTAATATAAACGTAATCCCATTAGAAAAAATTGTTACCACCTTAAGAACATCGTGACATAATTTACAAAGTGAAGTTGGAGTGAGTTAGTGAATTTAGTTTTACGCCGTTTTAAAGCAATATTCCAGCAATATCACGGCGGGGAGATGAATACCATTTTTTAGCTTGTCCCAGATATATTAAAGAACGGTAATACTACATCAATAAATATAGTATTGGCAAAACCCTAGTGTCTATAAACTTGTACCAATTACTCGCATGTGATAATAATAAAACCATTGTGAAATTAGGTAAATATTCAATATAATGTAATCAAACGATACGTTCTCACGTTGCTTAACGTGCCCATGTACATGTCCATATTTGTATTTAATTTGAAACACACACATGCACGCACGCATATAAATCAGAATATGCCATAGCACCAAATTAAAAAAACCAAGCAATCCGTCATTCACATTATATAGTTACAATTTATGATACAGATCAAGTTCCCATAGTAGTTCAACCATACAATAATGAGGGCGGTAAGCTAAGGCAGATGATACAGCATTCGATAGGTAAGACTGGAATATATGCATAATGATGAATGTGTTGGTAAGATTTGATTGATTCTTCTGTTTCAGCAACAACCGAGAACGTGGTTTACAGATGTCACACCAGTGGAAGCAGTATGTCATTTACTGTGAACACGTGTCTCGTTGCTGTACTTGCAGCAGTAGTGAGTGTGTAAAAATGGAGCGATATCCACAATAAAATACTTTAAGATCTAATGGCGTTTGGGGTATGTCTAAAGCGAACACGCATTTAACGAACTGACGGATGTAACGAACAGATCTTTCAGTCCAGGACCCTTGCTATACAAAGTTTTCGAGACACGAATTGCAATTTGTGATCCGTTCGAGTTCGATACAACCACAGTATACTGTAACATTTACACCCGGATTGGTGCGATTGTTCAGTCATGAATTAAAGATAAGCATACTGGAACCTTGTCAAAACCACTTCTGTTAAGGCTTATGTAACGAACTTACAGAGTAAGGGAAACTGTTTGTCTGCTTATTAAATTGTTTTAGAAACATGCGAGAATTGCTGACGTGTGCAGAAAGGGAGTACCATTGTCTCTATATCTACGTGTAGCTTTGTGTCTGTCAGCCTTAGGTGTATATCTTATTGTATCCCTAATACATTAAAATCGAATAAAAAAAAATCGGGACCTACAAAACCAAAACATATTATTGTGTATTTGTGGTCATCTGTAAATCAGGCAAATCACGGTTTGTTTCATGTTAATTCCGAATCTCCTTGCATACCATTAAATTAAAAATTTTCATCAACGTAAATGTTATGACAAACACGATATTGTATGCAGCCATCGTTTTTCAAGCGATAGTGGCAATGAACTACATATATCATGTACATGTGAACAATATGCAAATCTGAGATTAGCATACCTTCCAGACACGTCATATTCAAAAACATATCATAGCGGTCGCTCGTCAGCTGTGTTCTTAAAACTTTCATACTTGCATTTATTTTATTTTATGTATACCTTTATTGTTCAATTAACATTTATTGTTTGGTAAACATGAAATTGTACTATAGATCATAAGGCCCAAACTACTGAAAAGCTTGTCTGTCACGATTGCACGTTATGGTTCACGACCAATGAGCGTCATGTCTCATCATTGGAAATCTGTCTCCCCATGGTTCCACATGACCACCCGTGAAAATCCGGGTTATAATTGGTTTTCAGCAACCCATGCTTGTCGTAAGAGGCGACTAACGCGATCGGGTGGTCAGGCTCGCTGACTTGTTTGGCACGTGTCATCATATCCCAGTTGCGTAGGTCGATGTTCATGATGTTGATCACTGGATTGTCGGGTCCAGACTCGTTTATTCACAGACCAAAGAGCTGGAATATTTCTCAGCGCTGTATGGTTATATCTGCCTCGTAGGATTTATGTTGTAGGAACTGACGTATCTACGTAGGAGTATATGTTTCAAATATTTTCCCCTGATAGGATATACTTCGTGGCAGTGTCTTTATAGCGCTATAAATTTAAGAAGAGTATTTCCTGTACATGCCCACCCGTGAAGATACGGGTTTGAATTGGTCTTAAGTAACCCATACAAGAGGCAGTGTTCATTTTTGCATTTATACAAAATGAGACCTTGTCCAACCAGCCCTCAGTCATGTGGATCATTCAGAAAATATCGTGGGTCGTAAAATGGCTGTGACATTTTAGACATACACGACTAGTTACTACTATCCGTGGGCATGGGCTATGCTTTTGACATGGTGTCGACTTCTTGTAGGCGGGTCAGGCGGTCACTTGTGGCAAAGCAGATGTTCTTGTCGTCGTCTCCGTCGTCTATGCAAAGGAAGGGCAGTCTGAGGGTGTGGGTTCGAATCCCGGATGGGACTCAACCCCAAAAAGTACTAGAATCTGTACTTTGCTGAGAAAGTGTAATCCCAAATATAACATATGTTACTATAGAACCATATTTATGCGTGCTGTAACTTAAAAAAAAACCACAGGGATGGTCCAGTGTCCCCCATTTCTCGTGTGGGCCGAGTACTTGCAACCCACACCAATAACAACACATTTTATGATTAGGGCCAAGTGTCCCGACGTTCACCCTTCGTGGAAATCGAGACCGAGTTTTTAGTAGTCTGTTTCAACCTATTTATGAGCATACTTTGCAGAACTTCTTGTGCAGCGCTATAACTAGGGCAGGCTAAAAAGATCGATAATCGGAAATGTGGTCGATAAGAACAATTGTTAATGATTATCGATGTGAACTATTTTCATTTCTTTCACACATTTGGGACCCGTTAGTCGCCTCTTACGACAAGTATGGGTTACTGAAGATCAATTCTAACCCAGATCTTCATTTGCTTGATAACGGTGTTAGGATCTACACCGAAACGTCGCAACTACTACTGCAACAAAGAAGTTGTCCATCCATAAAAAGTGTTCCACTTCCACTCCACTTGTGTCTGCATAAAGGGTTGATGTTTACATTATATCCTTGAGGATTTCCTGAGATATGATATTCAAGAAATAAAATGTTATATGGTTTTCTTAAATAAAACACTGGAGAAAATATTGAAAACAAGTTTTTACCTCATTAAGGAAGACAGTTGTTCTCTGGAGATTCTTGAAAAAAATTCCACATTCCTTCAGTTCTTGCAAAAAAACGAGTAAGAGGAACTTAACGACAATTTGTTTGTTTCAAGATTTATCAAATAATAAATTAGTGTATCGAACAGAATCCCCGATGTTGATACAAAATATATCATTTATAGACATGCCGGGGAAATAAGCCGGAGTTTATAATCTTTTTACAAAACAACAAATCACTCGCTTTCGAGGATAAGTCTGACTCATGAAACAGTAAACACACAAGACAGCATCAGAGGTGAAGTGAATGAGTGAATTTATTTTTACGCCGCTTTTAGCAAAAATCAAGCAATATCAAGATTTTCAAGATTTTTATTACAGTATTAGAGACCTCCAGCTAAGTACATATTTTGTCTGACAAACCTCCTTTCACAGAAGGTTTAAATAAAAGTGATCAATACAAACAAATGGTGCAAATACAACATAACTAGTGCAAAAAAATGCAAGAGAACATTTCAAACAACATTAGGCAGCACATGGAAAATAATCTATTTTTTGAACGCTTTAGTCGCTTTTGATATTAAAGGTTATCTCCCTTGAAAAGACTGTCAACCAGAAGTTTTGCTTTGCTTGGAAAAATAGTTATTTCCTTTTCTTGTGGCAGATACAATGAATTTTGAGCTTTCATATCATTATGGAAAGTTAATCATAGCTTTGGTGAAGTTTTCAATGCATCTATGCTTATTTTTCATCCAGTGGAAATATTTATCTTAGTTCCTCATAGGAATGACAAAAAATGGGTCTCATCTTCAACTTCTCTCTTGCAATATCACAGTGGGCTCAGAGGTTAAGAGACCCTCGTGCCTGTGTTGTCCTTTACACACTCAGCAATATTCCAGCTATATGATGGTGGTCTATAGATAATTGAGTCTGGACCCGACAATCCAGTGGTTGATATAATGAACATCGATCTTTGTAATTGGGATATAGTGACATGCACCGACCAAGTAAGCGAGCCTGACCACTCAACCACGCCTCTTATGACAGGTATGGATTATTGAAGATCAGTTCGTACCCGGATCTTCACGAAAGAAAATCATCTGATCTATTACTCTCTGAAAAAATCAACCAGCCTTTGTTTAAAAGTAGAAAAGAAAATTGGGTAAAAAGGCGTGGGGAAAAACACAAGAACATGATCGCTATCAACTTGGCTTAGATAAATATAGTCTCCCCTAGTTCCATATCAAAAACCAAAGCATACCCTTCAACAGTAAGAAATCGTTTAACATATTGCGTACGAATATATTACAATATATTACCTGCAATTTTTTAGCCGGACTTTCAGTGAGTGAGTGAGTGAAACTTTACACCGGATTAACTTCATATGTAAAGGAGTGAAATTTCAAAACAACTATTACAATATAGTATTATTGTAAAGACAGGCATAAATATTCATCTTGGTGAGTGCGTAATTGAGTGACACTTGGAGGTGCTGAAATGGATCACAACAATATAACGTTTTTTTACAACGACTTCAATATACATTCAAATAATTTCGTACCATACTCCGATGGAGGAAGAGAGTCAGGTTTAATTTCACTATTATAGTGAATGTCTTTGTTTTCAACGCTTATTTGTCAGCTTGAAAGATTTATATTGATGAGGTTTAATGACATCGAAAGAGTTTACACCGATTTAACTTTGTAATTTATGTAAAGGGGTGAACGACATTTCACAACAATTATTACAATAAAGTGTTATTGTATAGACAGGCATAAATATTTATCTAGGTGAGTCAGTGATTGAGTGACTTTTGGAGGTCACTGAGTGAGTGTAGGTTTATAAAGCTTTTAGCAATATTCCAGCGATATCACGGTGAGGGACACCATTGCGCCTATGTGGGGAATCGAACCCGGGTCTTCGGCGATACCTCACAGGTACTTGACTTCAACAAACTTTATGAGACTGAATCTGACTTCCAGGGTCGCGGGTCCCGCCACAGGAATTGCCACTGGTGCTTGAATGAAGTCTTTACCATCGATGAAGATCTGAAATTCACCATGAATATTTATTAAAAGATGAGGATCTTCTATTTGGTATCCCTTGTGATGAAGGAATCACGGCCAATAATATCCTGCTTGACTGTCTCGAATTTCCATCACAAGGAATAAATATTTAAATGTAAAACAAGGATCGTTTTACTAATGTTACTTTTCGTTTACTGAACTGAAATTGCTAGTGGCTGTATCCTCAAAGGGGGTTAAAGTGTTGTAGAATTAGTGTCCTCCTGCTGAGGCGCAGATAATCTTTGAAGTATATGTCCGTTATCCGCCAGACTATTCACGAGGGACATATTTCCCGTAATCACTCGTACCTCGTGGTTTATTCTATTTATTACCAATTCTGTAAGGCAACCGAGAAACCAGTGTTTATGGACTCAAAACCGCACCGTCTTATGTAAGTGGTTACAGCTAAAATTTAATCAGCTGATATGTATACATGCGCGTGTGCAACCAAACTGCTCAAACCTAATGGAATCGCATACGAACCACAATGTAGTACTATACAACACAATTCAACAGTTACAGGAATCTCTATCGAAACGTCGCATCACCTGTATAAAGAAGTTGTTCATCCTTAAAGTG